GGGACTCAGTCAGGTGCTACATCAGCTGACTCACCCACAATCTAATCAGGGATGTGGCTGGATTTTTTACACATCAACCTTGCTTTTAACAGCAGAAGCTGGACACCAGGGCCATTGAGGATCCAGTGATCTAGTATCAGGAGTGAATACCAAGAGCTGGCAGGTAGGATCAATCCCAACCATCAAACCCACTGACCTTGTGAGCAACCCATCCTCAGATTCCCATCATATCTCCCTCTGACCATCATTAACCAGATGCCCTCACCTCTCTTCCATCTCAACCTCCCCCACATCCATAGGACTCAGCCATTCCACTTCCACACACCCCTCTAAACTACAGTCCTCCCCCCAGCTTTTGCCTCCAGCACTCAGGTCAAGAATCTAAACAAGAGAGGCACCAACTACCTCAATACACACAAGTCTTGCATATACCTCCCACTCCTCAAGCATTCACTTCCCCTCAAAACACCAGTCTGGAGTGGTCTGAGACAGATCTCAGGCCAGGTGGCTGACAGACCACCTCCAAAAACGCAAAAGTCTGGTAGAAGTATTACAACAGACTATGGTCCATGCCAAGGTATCATGGAGATATTTACCTGCAGGGCTGGGACCAGCAATACAAAAATCTCTCAACCCAGAACCACTCTTGCTGGCACAGCTTCACACTTGCCATACTCCAGGACACAAGCCCTTGGCATGATGGTTGAAGGGCCCTAAATGAAGATGGTGTGGCCACAACCACTGCAGCTGTTCTGCCCGGTCCAATGCACCTCCAACAATGGACAACGCCAGCTCTCCTCTTTTGATGCCAGCAAACGCAGTCAATGCCCAAGCCGAAGCCCCACAACCACCCCACAAAAGGGAACTTGGCTCATCTTCTTGTAGTAGCATTCCAGCTGGGCTTCCATGTGGGTCGTTAGTCTCTCTGCAGCAGTCTCCCACTCAGCTTCGGTCCATGATGGAGTCCACTGCCATCTAGTATTTGCTGCTGCCAGAGATGCTGACAATACCACCCATGCCAAAAATGCTACCACCAAAAATGATCCAACACCATGCCAAATGGTGGTACTGACCCACCACAGAAGCCAACATGGCTCCATCTGCACACTCCCTTACACTGTTAACACCCTTAAAGCACCCAAATGCACACAGATGGGCCTCCTGAGCAGCCCATCCTCTGGATGCCATCTTAATGTTTTGGAAATGTTTGGGATGGGCATTTGGTATGGCCTTGTTTCTCCATTTTAGCTCTGCAAAATTCAGAATATAGCAGATGCCAGAGAGTTATTCAGTGATTACATGTTCTCTCTTAAGTAACATCCTGGGTTAATTTGGGCATAACATGAACCCAGAGTTTAAAATTACATGCACTAACTACAGTGAACTTTGGGTACATACCTTCCCCTTTGCCACTCGTGCAGAGAATTTTGGAAAACCAGAGTTCCTTATTACATGTGAACTCAAGAAATTCTGGTAAATTCTCATCAGTTATGAGGCATCAGCCATGATTAGAAATATGCTTCTTCAAGAAGCAGAGTTTTTGTTATGATGGGCAGCCTTGGGAATATAAGTCACAATTGGTTGGGTTCATTGAGCCAAACCCAGGCAGAGAATATTTTAGTTGAGCAAGGTATGTGAAAAAGAAACAAAAATAAGACTATTACTTGGTAGATAGAGATTTATTTTAAAATCTAACTCCCATTTGCCCCAGCAAGCACAGCAAATGGAAAGGGATTGCAGGAATTGTAAACTCATAACTTCTTCCTTCTTCCCCCTTCTTTCTGGTTTTATTTTTTATCAAGTAAAATAAACAACAAAAAAGCAAAAACAAAAAGGAAATACATATACAGTACATATATAAAATAAACTTTACGCTAGAGTGAAGTTTGAAGTGAAAATATGATTATAAAAAATAAAAGGCAAAAGGCAAAACAGACAAAAACATTACAGGAAAAAGCATTCTATTAACCTGCCTCTTTTTTTAAAAAAAAATGTTTATACTATGCCTTGGACATCTGCAATTATTGCTCATTTCTATTTGGATTGTTTTAATTCTTTTTTAAACATCTTTTTCTTCAAAAAACACACTCTGTGTATCTTTGCTTGCCTTGCTATGTAATATGTTGTCTATAAGGGAAACTATTTGAGTAACTTTTGATGTTGAAAGCTCTCACGGGGGGTGGGGGGTGTTAAGTACTTGGCTTTGAAATTGCTTAATATTATTTACTATATTACTATATTTACTATATGTGCTTGTGGAGTTCTTGGTGCTCTCTGAGCTTGGTAGTTTGCTTGCAGACATTTCATTACCCAACTTGGGTCCATAATCATGTGCTTGTGTACAAGTTATTGTTCTCGTGGTTATTTAATGTTGTTATGGGATTCCTCTACACCAGATTTTGGTGTTTTGTACTCCAGCCCATGATGATGTCCCCAGTAGACTTTGGGTATAAAGCAATTAATGTAAATGTGAAATTGAACTATTTCAGTTTCATGATATGATTCTCAAGTGCCTCTACTTCATCCATCTCTCTATTTTTCATAACAGTTCTGTTCCTAAAACAGCTACTCTAACCTATTTGTCACATCCAGAATGGATCCTTGTGCTATTCTACACAATTTGCACAACACGATATGCCTTTTGCTTGGGGTAATTCCATAACACCACCTACCATTTAACTTCATTTATTTATTTAAATATTGCATTGACATCCCATGTTTTCTTTGAGAGATCAGGATGGTGTCTCCTAATTTTAATCCCATGGAACAACAATCCTGTGAAGCCCTTGGGCTGAGAGAACATGACTGGCCCAAAGTCACCTACTTTATTCCATGGTTGGAAACTGAACCGAGGTGTGTCCAGTCCAAACCCAACATTACAATCTCTACGCAGTATTTGCTCTTTTAAGGCCATCTCAGCTTTAATCTGAAGAGCCCAGGTCCACATTCTCTTCACAGTTATGTTCTCATAACAACCCTACAATGGAGGTCAGACAGTGGGCTAATAATTGACCAAAAGCCATTCGGCTTCCTTTTATCCCTATGCATAGTTTCACATTCTTAAACACTACATTAAGTATTGTTCCAGAATAATTACTGTATTATGTAGCAAAATTTCCACTATTGATCAGAATACCCTCTGCATTTGAAAGTATATAAAAGATTTAGTAAAACAATTTAAATTGTTTTAAACTCTAAATTTATTTAAATTTATTTAGAGTATTAGAAAAATAGCAAGGGAGTATGCTAAGGTATGCATTAAACAATCTCAGATGTAATGTAAATAAATGTAAAAGTATCCTATGTATTAACAGGAAAAAGCCATTTATGTCTTCCCTGTCTCAAACCACAAATACAGAAGAATGATTAGAGGAATTTTGGTACCTATAACTGGATATACATCAATTTCTGAGATAATCTGGAGGAATAAATACAACACCTCAAACTATGGCTTCTATAAACATGTTTATTAAATAAACCAGAGTTTGCTAGGTTCTAATACCACCATGCAGTGTGATTTACATACCACATTGTCTGGGTTTACACAACATCCTAATCCACAAACAAAAGTTTTGGAGTACAGCAGCACAGAAATAGTAGTAATAAATAACCTGGTTTTGTGTGTACCTAGTCTTGTTCTTTCATCAAGGAATTACAGAATATATGTTTACCTACACCCATGTCAGGGGCTTAATTTATACCTGGGGGTCTCAGCTTTATAAAGTAAAATGAAGTCTCCCTCAAGTGGTGCTTAATTCCTGATGACCACACAGCCACATTCGTTTGCTTGGCAGCAACTCAAAAGTGGCTTGCCATTGCCTGTATCCCAAAGTTTTCTACCTCCCAATCCAGTCCACCTGGATTTCTTGGCAGTCTCCCATCCCCACGCTACCAACTCCAACCCCGCTTAGCTTTCTCCAGACCAGACCAAGTTGGCTCAGTGGTGCCTATGCTCTGACCTTTTCAGAAAGATCCGTCAGGATGCTTACAGCAGGGTTCCTTAACCTTGGCAACTTTCAGACAGGTGGACTTCAACTCCCAGAATTCTCCAGCCAGCCTTGCTTTAAACAATCTCAGATGTAAGCTGGCTGGGGAATTCTGGAAGTTGAAGTCCACTCGTCTGAAAGTTGCCAAGGTTGAGGAACCCTGGCTTACAGTATTTTTAGATATACAGCATATCCTGCCTTTTGCACAGGAGCTCAAGGCAACATGCCGAGCGCTCCCTCCTCCCCTCTGCCCCCATAACAGCAACCCTGCGAGGTAGCTGGGCAGAGAGAACGGCCGAGTAGCTCAAAGAGCAGCCTTCCCCAACCGGGTGCCCTCCCCTCGGACTTCAGCCCTAGCGTACCCCGCCAGCAACCTATGCGGGCCGTCCCCGCAGCCTCTCTCTCTCTCTTTCTCCCTCGCCAGCCACTCGCAGGCACTATCACCATGGCAGCCCAAACACAAGGCAAGCGGCTCTCCCGGCCTCCCGCGCGTCTCCTGGCGGGAGCTGCGGCGCTCGGGCGGCGGCTCCTAAGCCGCGCAGCGGGGCGCAGCCGTAGCAGCTCCCCGGGCGGGAGAGGGACGCGGCGGATTCCCTCTTTCGCTGCTTCAGGACTCTTACAGCGCCCAGCGCCATCTTGACCCGCGGCGAGGCGCTTGGGGCTTCTTGGGGGGCGCAGGTGGCCACCGCTTCGCCGCCCGCGGCTCCCCTGGGGGCCTCGGCGGGTGGCGGGCTGGGCGAGAGCGCGCGGCTGCGCCGGACCCTCGCCCTCCTCCTTGGTAGGCTGGGCTCGGCTAAAGAAGCGCAGGTTTCCGCCGCGGCCTTGGCCTT